CATATATGCATATATATACATATATATGAAAATATGCATATACATACACATATATACATATATATAATACATATACATATATACACACATATATATACATATACACACACATATATATACATACACCACACACACACACACACACACACACACACACACACCACACACACACACACACACACACACCACACACACACCCACACACACACACACACACACATATATACATATATATATATATATATTATATATATATATATATATATATATATATATATATACATATATATACATATACATATACACATATATATACATATACATATATATATACATATAAACGTATATATACTTAAATACATATGTATATACATACATATACATATATACATACATATACATATATACATACATATACATATATACATACATATATATATATATATATATATATATATATATATGTATACACATATATATACATATATATACATATATAAACATATATATACATATTACATACATTTACATATATACATACATATACATATATACATACATACATATATACATACATATATATATGTATACAATATATACATATATACATATATAAAATATATACATATATAAACATATTTATGTATATAAACACATATATACATATATAAACATATATACATATATATACATATATATACACTTATAAACATATATAAACATATATAAACATATATATACATATATACATATATATACATATATACATATATGTACATATACATATATACATATATATACATATATATACATTTACACATATATACATATATATGCAACACACACACACACACACGCACACACGCACACACGCACACACGCACACACGCACACACGCACACGCACAAGCACACACAGACATTTATATATATATATATATATATATATATATTATATATATATATATATATATATTATATATACGTATATACGTATATACATATATATATACATATACATATACATATATGCATATATATACATGTACATCAATACATATATACATCTTTATAAATATACATATATACATATATATAAATATACATATATATATATACACATATACATATATATACAGATAAACAAATACATATATATACATAACATATATATATATACATAATATATAAATATACATAATATATATATATATATTATTATATTATAATATACATATATATATATATATATATATATATAATATATATATATTATATATATGTATATATATATATATACATAATATATAATATACATATATATATATAAAATATAATATACATATATATATATACATAATATATAATACATATATATACATATACATAAAAATAAAGACCAACTTCATAATTATTTGCCAAATAACTTCCCCCCAAGGGTTTACAACCCCAGGACCCTTGGTGGTCCTGAGCCACCAGTTGGTGACCGTCATACTAATCATTGGAACATTTGCCTAAAGGATTGACAAGATTGTTACTAACTGATTTCTGTTGTTCTCTATAATTAACTGCCTTCATGGTGTGTTCCTCAAGTTCCTTATTTTCTAAAGCAATTGAAGCCTAACATAACTAATGCTATTTCTATGTTTACAGCCATCCTAGAAACACTTTTATAATACCTTTGCTTGTTTAATGTTTAATGTTCGAAAATAAATGTGCTAGACATCAGAGGTCATATGGCACTATGGTAAAGTATTGCATTGGAAAGGGTAAAGGAGAGTAAAGATTATGATAAAATGTGTTAGATGTCAAAGGTTTAGAACGTTATGGGATAATATGATAGTATGGAAGGTAAAGGAAAAATGTTCAAGGAAGAATAGAGATAGCTGTTGAAGAGTAAGAGAAAATCGGGGAGAGGGGATGGTGTTAAATATCAAAGATTAGAGGGTGTTACAGGAAAGTATGGTAATGAAAAGGGGAAAGGAGGGAAGTAAATGAAGTAGAGCAGTGATTAATAAATGGGAAAGGTTAAGGAGGTAGATCGATTAAATGAATTGTATTGTATCTGTGACTGGGGAAGGAATAGGGATAATAGGTGATAACGTTATATATGGTTGTATTAGTAGTAGGGGATTAGGTATCTGGGGGTTGAGACAAAGGATCAGGAATAGGTGAAGGAGTAGTGTCTGGGTGTTCGATAGGGACAGTGGGGTCTGGGGAAGGATATTGTGATAAAAGAGATTCACGTGTATATCCAGGAGGGAGTGGGAGGGATAGTAGGGAAGGATGGGGTTTTGGGGGAGGTTCAGTTTGGGTGGTATGGGGGTTTGGGTGGTTGAGAGGATGAGGCATTTGGGAAGGGGTTGGGGGAATATAAGGGGGCAGAGCAACTGAGTGAATTGCAGTGTATCTGTGACTGGGGAAGGAGTAGGGACACTGATCAAGGAAAACAGAGGTGGCTGTTGGAGAACTAGGAGGAGAAGAATCCAGGGGTTGAGAAAGGAGACTGGGGAAGGTGGTGAAGCACTAGGAAAAATGTTTGGAGAGGAGGGGTCTGGAGAAGGACACTGTTGTGATAGAGAGGATTCGTGTGAGTATTCAAGTGGTAGAGAGGGTGGGGTATGTTGGGAGGGTGTAGGAGGAAGGGGGTGGAGGGAACTTGGGAAGGAGGATGAATATCTGCAAATACTTTAAATGTAGCAGGAGTAGGAACAGAGGGATTGGGGGGTGGATGAGGGAGCGGAGTGTTCCCTTGGGTCATCTTTAGGAAGTTTCGGATGTCTTCAAGGGTTTCTGAAGGGAATTTGGTATAGAGGACTGAGAAACAAAGGTTCTCTTATAAGGAGGAGAAGAGGAGATGGATATCTGAGGAACAGATGAAGAGGAAGGTGTAGGAGAGAATGTAGTAGGAGAGTGTGGAGTGGAACGTTTAGGTTGTCTGGTACGACAACTAAAGTGAGGAGGAGGGGTAGGTATCCGGGAAGTGGTAGAGATTGGAGTATCTGGATTTAGGATGGAAAATGGATTTGACTGGTGGATAGGGTGA